TTAGGAGCTTGAGAGAACGGCGCAAGTAACTCTCAAAAATACCTAAGTAGCCTCTTTCGAATGGCAAAACGTAGAAGAGACCAGTTTTATCCGTGCATTCCGACTGTTCATCGGCAACAAACTCCCGCTTTCGGTCCGCCTTGGCCTTGACTATACAATTCGGGATCAGTCTGAATCACCGCACATTCAGATACCCACATTTCTGGTATCTACCGTACCTTGGCTCGATATCACGGCTTGTGCCAATCTTCATTGTGTAGCCTCCATTGTCGAGTATCACCGTCTCTTGTCCCACCATCTTTGTGGCAAATGGATAATATTGCGTAAGAAGAGATTTACAATGAACCAACAGTCAGACTTCAGAAATATCCTGATTCCGTCAGAGGACTTTAGTAGGGTAAACATGTACAGAAACAGTGAGAGATTTATCAACTGATATACATCAACTTATAAAGGACATCTGGTGAATCAGTAACAGCTATTCCTTGTACTGAAAGAGTAGTAAAGAATGAAACAAACTAGCGGTTGACTGAAATTAATGTAGTTGGGCGCCGACTTCGAGTCTTCTTAACGGCATGACCTTTCGGTCTCATATCACATAAAACAAAAGACGAAAGCCATAGCCATTTTCGGCGTAGTTCGGCGACGGAGGAGGGGTGGAGCATTTTGCACTTTTGCTACTTTCCATCGACATGCTCTCCGCCTCAGCTTCACAAAAGTTCACAGGTTTCAGTGTGAAGCGGGACCAGTGAAGCAGCCAAAGAGCAAAATATCCTCCCTGACCCCGAACTGCGCCGCATTTCTTGTTCCAGGGTCGATCACAGTGCAAAATAATACTTCCAGTAGTGGGGCAGTTCGGCTACGAAGCGGGGAGCATACCGTTGATTCCTGTAACGCGGCGAGCCTTACTATGAAGTTCTGTGAAGTCATGAAGTGGTTTGTACGGGCTGAATCTCCACACCATTTTTCTCCGGCTTTTCATGTCTTCCGGCTTTTAAGGAAAAAAAATAACTGTGAAACGATTGTAGCCAGAGCCTTTAGCCTAGCAAAAAGGAGCTGTGGAGCTAGTAAACAATCTACTTAAAAAGGAGTGGAAAACAAAACTGGTAACAATTCGTAATTGGAGAGTTTGCAAAATGCCCCCATCCCTCTCCCATCCCACAACCTCCGCAGCCGAACTGGACCCTTACAGTTGCTATCACAGATTCGAAAAATATGCTCACGGCTAGCTCAACAACACTTCACGAACTGATGGAAGCAAGCCAACTAGGGAACATTCAAAGTTCCTCGTGCAAAACTGGGGTCGCGGTCTTTTTACATGGCAAAATCTGTTCACCCACCCCAGAGGTTTTTCTTGCCAGGTTTGGGCTAAAATTTAGTGCAATCCCAGCTGTGCACAAAAGTCGTTAAACAGCCCCTTTCTTAACCGACTTACGCGACTAGTGCAGTTGAAAGTAACTGATATACCAAAGGTACGTAATATTCACTGATTGAATGACTTTGTTAAAATATATAAGATAGGGCAAGCAGTACGGCAGAAGCACGAAGGCAGTGGGCACGACCGCTGGAGGCGGGTGGTTACTGCCAGCGTCATTTGTGGAAGGCCTACGAGAGAGAGCGTTTGGCCACACCCCGCTTAGCCACTCCATCAAACTGAACTACCGGTCCACCGCTGGTCTTTTGTCGCCCCCTGCTTTTATGAATCTCTGAAAACTGCGAACGCCAAAAGCACACACTGCAACGGCACAGAAATACTCTCTTATAACCCATACATCTTCCGATAGAAACTAAGAATTTTCAACAGAAGCGTCATGCAAATACTGTTCAATTTTGAAAATTGGTTGCTTGAGAAGTGCATCCAAACCACGAAATTGTAGATCCCGCTTGACAATATCTGCCGTTGGAGTCCAACTACGATCAGGCTCCAAGCGATATGAAGCTACGTATTCTTTCCTTTTCTCCTCCTTTCCCCATTCATCTGGGCACAGCAGCGAGAAATACCTTAAATGTAGACGGATATCTGACGCTAAATGCAGCAGTAGCGTACGAAACGACACCGAAGATGGCACAGTTCAGCTTGGTGGGGACATTTTGCTGGTTTCTCATCACTCACTGCCGACGTCACATGTGAAGACTGAACTCCTGTCGAGCAAGCATTAGCAGGCTTAGTCTATGCAGGACAAGTTTACAGGTCTCACCAAGGTGTGACATGCATGTAATGTAACTGCGACTATCATAAGGAACTAGCAAAAGTGCAAAATGCCCTCCCAAGCCGAACAGCGCTCGAAAACCGCTAACGACACCTGTATCCATCTTTTCTTTGGTAGAGGTGATAAACACGTCCAGGCTGCTTCTGCATATTGCAGGCTACGTTGTGCAATTCTTCATCTCGTTTAGCTTCTTCTAACACCTTTAGAGCAGCCTACAAACACAACGGACGTGTTATGTGGGAAATAGTGACCCATCAGAACAAGCATTCACCTTCTGCAGCTGCTCCATTTGTTCCGCAATACCTCTTAACCGATCACAGGCTCGGCCCTTAACTAGCTCACTGGAAAATTCGTCAAGCTCAGATCATTACGATCACTCAGAGTCTAACCCATACGTTAGACGTACCGAGCAGTTGATAACTGCTGTGCCAATGCGACCAAATCATCTGCAGTAGCTCTATCGGTTTCTCGTGTAGAAACAACAAGACGAGATCCATCGTTGCGAGGTGCGACCAGCTCTACGCCAACTTGAAAAGAAACCAAATGAACATCATGACAAACACAAGCTCAGCAAATTGAATTCACTCTCTTCTGATTGATAGCCACAAAGCAGCAAGTTTTACTAAGGACCTGAATTATCTTCATTTATGCTATGTGTGCTATACCATAATACTAAGCCGGCTAAAAAGGATTTTCTGTGGTTTAGCTTGGGAATCCGTCCGAGTTCTACCATATGTTTGGTATGAATCGATCTTGAAGTGCAGGAAAATATGGTCCTACTTCTTGTGCCTCCGACGCACTTCCATTCCTGCGTTTTCAGTACAAGTGATCGGATCGTAACTTTAGCGATGTCACCAAAACGCTTATGCAGAGTACGAACGCAGTTTACTGTTCCGAAAGGGTTACACGAGTGGAGCAGCAAAAAGATACTTGGTACCACCTCACCCCTAAAACCCGAAATATGAAAAGAAAACTCACTGGAACTCTGACCACAGCTGTACGACGCTTTACCTCAACTACTCACGAGGTTGTTAATGCAGGTTTAGTGGCTCAGAT